TACCTATCATAACGCCTGCCATTTGAAATAAATAAATATTAGCTTTGCTGCCACTTTCCAAAATTAGTGTTGGAAATGGTTTTCTTCACTCCTCCATATGGTTGTTCACCGCTATCGTCGGGATAACTACTAGAGCAGATTTATGAAAATATTCATTCAAAAACATGAAGTAGCCTCCCACTTTAGCATTACTAAATTTCTCATTGTTGCTTGTAGATCATCTCCAGATCTCGGCTTTGAATTGTACTGAGAAGTGTGGGACTGCAAAAGTTAACCAAACAGAATTCATTCCATTGGCATATGTGATGCTAATATCACCTAAATTATTTTATCTAATTGATACAGATATCAAAAGCTGCGCAAGATTTATGCTTACTGACAGGTCATGGCATTTCCCAAATTGTCATAAAAATAGGTCAAATGATTCCAAAGCTAGTTCCTAATTCAGACCTCCAAGGGGGGCTTTTACCACGAAGAGCACACCTGATTATCAGCACTTCGTGCGAGTCAGAAACCAAGTGTTTAAGTTGAACGAAAACGAATTGCCTTTCCATTACGGAGTTCCGGGTGTTTGAGAAAACTATTAACGTGAGTGCTCCGCATATTCTATTAGAGACAGGCTATTTATAGTCGTTAGCTCTTGAAATATGCTGTTATTTTTAAATGCTCTGTTGTGTACAAGGACAGAATTGGTACAATCCTTGACTATTACCTAATTTTTTATTTAATGGGAGCAACAATCATTCCCCGATATCTGTAAAACTCAGGTTAATAAGACACAGGGTAACTTTCAATCAAGTTTGTTTACATTAACGATGAAGCAACCTGAATCACAGCTATGCCTTAAAGATTTCATTGGCACTACCGCTAATGCGATTGGCCAAAGCGGAGAACGATGTTAATACAATGACTCGTCCAATGCAAATGCGTACACGATCGAACGCACTCATCGACGCACCTTACCTAACACGGTAACTCGTTCTTGTATTGTCTTACAAGGTTATGCGCGTGCGACGTTTTCAGTTCACCTGCTGTAGTATGCGGTGTCGGTGTCATTCAACTGAAATGCTTCTCACAACGGTCTTCGCTTTACTCGTCTGCGCTTCAACAACATGGGCTCAAGCCACACAAACTTTGCAGCAAATTTTTGAAACAACCACAAGTGTTTCCTTGGTGAGCCATTGAAATGCTTTGATTTCTATGTTGTTTTCATCCATGGGACGTTTCAGAATTTTGAAAAATTAGTTAAAGTGAAATGTTTTATTTACTTTTTTCAAATGGAAGGAGTTTTGATAGTTATCATTAGCCCTTTAGTTGACTTCGGGAGGAGGAACATCAAAGTGACAAAAAGTCGAGAGGGGGGCAGAATAATGACTCACAGATGTAAAAGAGACAGACAGGCACAAAGGTAGAGAAAAAGGTGAATTGAGTATCGTGGATGGAGTCGAGTATGACATACAGTGGTGTGATGATAGTTTGAAGTGATAGGTCAGCTGCCGGTTAATAGACTTTTTTGCCGTATGAGTGTACGTTGCCCAGGATGCATCACGTTAAGTGGAACGTAGATGGAGCAGTTTTCATTCATCATAAGTCGTAATGCAATTGGTTTGTTTGAGTTGAGCCTGTCCACCCTTTACGGGGGTAAACCGCAGATTTATGTGAAATAACGCTGATTTGATCGTGCATGCCTTGGCTTATTAAAGTAAAACTAGTATTTCAGGAACCGTATCTTCAACAAATTGAGTGAATTCTCCTAGTCATTATTATAACAAGATTATTTATGTTTCTAAGCTGAAAAGAATGGCTTGTAAGGCTGTAGTTTTTTTGGGGTTTTGTTCTGGCCTGACTAGTAGATTTTAGCTCCAGATAACCGAGATCCTGAGAGAAACATGACAGAGTTAGAGTTAACTCAATCATCTTTGTGTTATTAATAGTTAAATTGAAGGCAATTACGAATTGATGGAGGTTATCGTCTTGGGTGGTCATTAAGCTGACAGAAGGTGTATTCATCACCACACTAATAGGGTTGATTTGGAGGGGGGTGGGGGGGGGGGAGTGGGAAGAGTTCGGTGAATAGGAGACTACCTCCTTCTGACACAAAACAAACTTTGTGGCCTTGAGCTTTGTGTATCAACGTCAAATTCGGTGCATGCCGTCGAATTATAAGAAAATGGACGATTTCAATCACGAAGAATCATTGTGTCAAAATATGTGAACTTTTCCCATTACCACACTTTCTATTTAAGTTTTGGACTCATCTGCTGGACTCAAAAATAACAGCAATAAATACATCCACATGCAAAAATGCCGGCCAATGCTTGACTGTTCTTGCACCTAGCAATGAGGCTTGGAATCTTCGTGTAGCCACTCTCTCCTGGCCCACACTATCACTCGAACAGAAGCAGAAAATCATCTACGGAATGTACCTCGAAAGTAAGTAAACTCATTTAGCTTAATTCATTTATAAAATGCCAATTCTTCACTGGCGCATGATGCAAACTCTGTTTCAATGCGCTGAAAAAATCGATCCAATTAAGTAGTATATTCACTCCTAGGTCACGACCCAAGTAAATAGAAGACTTCTTTTTTATTGATTTCATTAAGGTCCCAAGTCCGGTTCGATACCAACCAAATTGTCCACACAGAATTGGCAAACTGCCGGAGAAGCCTTGCCATTGATTGATGTTGGCTTTGGAAAAGGAGCACTTTACAACGAAATTGTCGGAGCCCGCTATGCATTCTCTTTTGTAAGTTGTGGTCCATTGTAGGCGTTGCTACTTCTTTGATAAGGAGTGATTATACAAGAGCTGCTTTTTTGGTCGTTAACTAGATTGGAACGCCATCAGCTTATTTCATCAACGATGCTAAAGTAACTGGAGCTAATGTTGACGCCACGAATGGAATGGTTCAAATTATGGATAAAGTTGTGCATTATCCCTATGAATCCATGGATTTTTTCCAATATCTCAGTCAGGCGAAAGATATGGCGTAAGTCAATGCTCCTCCCCCCACCACCTTTCGTATAATGGAAGTACTCTACAATGATTTAAATGATTTATATTTACCAGATTTAATGGATGGTGATTAACTACCTCTTAAGTTTCGTAGAATGAGGTTTGTACAGCACACACATTGAAATGGCTATAAATTTCTAACAATAAAACCTAGTTCAAATGATGATGGCATCTGCGAAAAAACTGAGAATTGCATGCAAAGGAGTAAAAGACCCGAAAGAGGACGTCTAAACTCCACCAAATTGAATTTTTGGTGAAAATTACGACTGTTTACATGGGTAAACTGGAAAGATTTGACAAATTGTGGGGAGCGAATCAAACTCATGTTCCAAACGATAAGATCCTTAATGCCATAATAGCCAACTTATTAAGCCCTAGTGTTCACCCTTATCTGAGCCTGTCATACTCCTAATAGTTTCAATGAGTTGCTTTTAGAGTAAGAACATGACAGATCGGCTAGACTATGCTTTTTTGTTACCTAACAGAAGTGAGATCATCTCCCTAATATTAGCCAGTGGAGTAGTGAGACGCTTCATAATGATTGAAATAGATAATAGAGCGTTTCCATAAAGCATGTTTCATTTTCTAGAAGTAAGCTGAAAATCTGAATTTCATTTATCATGGGAAAAGTTTCTTGGAGTAATGTTTTTGTTCTATTTCTCTGAGTATTTTAGGAAAACTCTCGCATTGTGGAACAAGTTGAGGACCACTGGTACACCGCTCTACACGCAACTCACAAATCAAGTCTACATGGGCCAGAGTCTATACGCCACTTACTTTGTGATTGCCGACTCCGTATGGAATCAGCTCCCAGAGAAAACCTATCAGAATCTTTTAAATAACGAAACATTATTAATAAGTGTAAGTTCGTTGCTGACTCTATAATGGGAAAATTTAATTAGGTTTTAGCAAATCAATACGCGCCAAATCAATACTTCTTTCCGAGATGGTTGACTGATTCACCTAACAGAGCCATCAATTTCTATGTTGGATTTCCTGCGGATCCTCTCCCAGCAAACATTAATACTCAAACACTTACTCCTGGAAAAATGGTTTCATCTACTGATGGTAGTGAGTAATATTCCTAGTTAGAGTTTGTTGTTTTGTTTGATAAAGCATGTAGTATTTTCTTCTTTACCCCCACTAGGCTCTATAACGATAACCCTGGGGAATACATACGCGACGACTGTAGGAGATGCGGTTGCCCTTCGAAAAGCGGTGCTTATCCCTATTTCAGCACCCTTGGGATATTTATCTGAAACTACTCAAGACTCGTTATCAAGACTTTCACCGTACGCTTACTTGCTTTTAATTTTGGGTTATATAAGTTTCCTAAGCCCATTTAATAAATTGTTGATAATACCTAAACTTAGTATAGGTAGAGCATTATGAATACTTCCTTAAATAATTTATCATTCTTTCAATACTCTTATAGTTTAGAAATATCTAATTTGATTGGATATCCACATCACTTATTATATTCCTATATCCCTTAATCGTATCACTTTCAGGTGTGCAAGTTGACTCCTGCCTCAGTTTCCACTTTGCCTATTCGAACTGAACCGTAAAATGCTGTGAAGTTTAGCAGTAATCTGATTTCAGTTATGCGTTTCTGGATTTGATTAAATAGATTTTAATGTGAAATTCATTTAACACTTGAGTATTAACTTAATTATCGCGATTAGGTGTACTGAATTGATTGGCTTATATTGCCAAACCCACGTGATCATCTTAATTCGAGCAATTAGAGTTTATTTGAGGAAAGGCAAGTTCATGAATATTATCAAGGGGAATGAAGACCTCGATCAGCTTATACCTTATTTGGAATGATCGCAACTATATCAAACTTAGAAATAAACGCACAAATATCTAGGAGTTTTGGATCGACATCCCCGAATCGACTGCTAAGCTACACCATGTTTTGTTGTGATCCCCCTATAAAATCGCCATTTTTTGTCTTAATTTGACCTGAAAAGGTGGCGTTTCTTTTGAATTCATCCAGAACATTCCTTCGAGTGTGTACACTTGATACCGCATGCAATGCAATTCTTCAGTCAACTACCGAGAAGACTGTTTTTGCACCTGTCGATTGGACAGCTTTTAACTCACTCCCTGCCGCCAATCAGGTAATGTGGCCTTGACAGTTATAGATTTCCTGCTGTAAAACTTACTTTGAAACACAATATCTCTATTCTTTTTAACAGAGTGAACATCTAAAGTTGATGATTCTTCCTGAGCGGATTCTCCGATCCCAAATGACCACTGGCAAGTATGTTACTGTGGGCAGTGTGGCGGATGCTATTCGATTCAGGACTCGGAATGGGGGTATGTATTACCAACTTTAAGATTAAATTTGCAAAACCTTAGTAAAAATGCCAAGCCATAACTGCTTATTATTTTTACTATGTCTATTTCGAAATTGTAATTAATACTTTGTGAACTTCAAGTAGTATCATTTTTGACTGACTTAGTGGTTGATACACGTACCATTATTTCAAATGATTCTTTTAAGTAATCATTATCTTGAAATAAGGTTACCTAATTTTCCTTAATTTGAGAGTTCACCTGTCTAGACAATAAAATTGACTAAATCTGTTATGATCTAGCGATCGTTTAAGTTTCAGTAATAAGAAATGGTTAACCATTTTAAGTTGCTGATTTTCAGATAGTAAATCGCTTCTAATTTAGTTATTCTACTGAATCGATGGATAATTCATAGCTGCAGTACCATTTCAGGGATCACCTATCTCTGTTGCAGTTTGTTTGATGGAAGTATATTCTTGCATATTTTGAATCACAATTCAGTTACTGCAATGCAAAACGGCGATAACTTGTGTATAAAGCTGTTAAATTGAATCAATTTTACCCCTTTTGCAGTTTTGAACGTGGAGGGACGAATGGCAGGCAATGGTTACGTGCCGGTAGCTCTTACGGATCAAGAAAGCTCCGGATCTGACGGGATGGTTTACCTCACAACTGGTGTTCCTGGTCTGCCCACTCAAACTGTTCGTAACTTTCTTGGCGCCGATACAAACTACAGGTATTAATTGAATTGGTCGTCTGCTACGTCATGTAATAGATGCATTACTTTAAACAGAGTAATGAATACATGGCTAGCGTTTTATACAACTACCATTGGTGTGTGAGTCCAGGAAAGGTACTGAACGAATACATTCCTGTTATAAAGCCTTTTCTGTTTACCGATTGCCATTAAGATAGTTATTGTCATCTACTAGGATTAAGCCTCCATAACGTGCCACTTTACAAAGTCTCAGTGGCTTAGTAGTATTGAGAGAAATATTAACTGGTCATAGGGGAATGCGATGGACACAAGGTTCGATTTTGGTAGAAATTAATACTTTATCGAAGGCAAATGATAATTCATCAGCCTTTGTTGTAAACCTATTATTGCTTATATAAAGTTGTTTTGTTGGTTATTCAACAAAAACCTGAAGAGCACCAAAGCGGTGGGAGTATATCGCTGCCTCCTCTATTTTGTTTGCACTTACGCCCATATTTCTCACCTCCACGTTCCAATTCCTTTCCTCAATTCTTCCTCGCTTCCTCTCTCATTCCCTTTGAGAGGCTGCCCAAGTCCAACTCTCCTGGTCATTCAATTTTGAAAGTCAGTCGTTTCCCGTTGGCCTTGAGAGAAGTAATGAGTTTTGAAATGGCAGTGCCCAAACCTAATCTACTGACAGTTTAGGTGTTAATTAAATTAGCAATTAAATTAATTAAGTATGTACTCATAATGAGAATCAGATTATCAACAAAATTTAGGTATGAATTTCACTTGCACCTTCCAATCACGTATTCATTAGCGTAGAGTTTTGAATTAGATTTATTTTAGAAGAATGCCATTTTTCATGGCTATTCGACCAAAATACTTATTATTTTTTCATTCATTCATTTATTTTTGATGATTTAAAAAAACCGTGGATACCAAAACTGGTATTTATTTAACCATGAGATCATGAGTTTTAAGTGAAATACTGCAATAATTCCTCGCCATCTTCGCCCTTAAACGGCCATTTTGCGACCTTCATCGTGAGCCTATAACTTATTCTGTCCATAAATAATTCATATTTCGGGAAATTTACATAGCAACTTGCCCAATGGTTATGTAGTTGTGTTTTTAGTCGCTTCATAAACGAAGTTTATCAAGAGTATTACAAGAAGATTGAATATATTCCAGACAAGATTCTCATACGCATCTCTCAACGTGTACATTCTCTCTTCCTCAAATTGGTACTTGAGATGCACTGTTTTCTCTCTCTCTCTCCCTCTCTCCAAGATAAATCTGTTTTCGCAAAAAATTTCCCAATTTTAGGCATCTCAATTTATTATTTTCCTTGTGTTTAAGAAACTATATCAATACGGGAATACTTGATAACCAAGTCAAAGGCGCACCCTATACATTCTTTGCGGTGAATAATGCTGGGATCGACAAAATGCGAGCGGATACGGCTGTTGGTGCCAAAATTTACAACGATGTGAACCGACGAATTTATGTGAGTTGAAATGCAGGAGACATTTTAATTGGGCTTCATGCAAAATGTTGCTGAGAATTATTGTCGTAGTATACTGCCGATCAATTATCCTCCATATAGACAACGTCTGTCATTATTTTATTGTCATTAAGGTATGCATAAATGGTCCATCATTGTAATGCGTTCTATAATTAAATTGGATGGAAATAAGATTCCCATTTATCCTCCCGAAGTTTATTCTAATTAGTTTGATTAAATATGCCAGTGCTCTGTTCATTTTATAAATCACTAAATTTTGAAAGAGCGCCAGTGAACTCAAATTTTAAGATCATCTTTGCCTGTGTCGTCGTCTCCCCCCCCCCCCCCCCCCCCCCCCCCCCCACCCTCCTTTCTCGCTGTAACTCTAAAATTGTGAGTCATGCAATATACCGATTTTATAAGCCTGATCGATCCGAGTCTTTTCTCTGCAAAGTGTATTTGAATTCTGTCTGCCTTCGCTTCTCAAAACCAAAGCCTTCCGTTGTTCAAACCGCTTACTTCGAAGGATAAATTCCCCATTTCAAGAAATAAAACCTTCAAAAAAGGGTAGTTTTGGGTATCATGGCTGAGTCCCCAATGTACTTTTTATTACCCCTCAACAAATAGCAAATTGAAGAAAGTATGCAGATAATTTACAAAGGAAATTTTTAAACGAAATTTTATTTGAAATAACAATGTACGGAATCGTTCGACTCCCTTGATGTGACCTCATTAATGGCAAGTGATTAAGCAAACTTCCTCATTTTTATCCAAATTTCTACAAACCAACGTTCATGTCATTGACTACATTTTAGCGAATTGGCAATTAATCAAAAAGTAATTGAGTAATTCAGTTCTCCACCCCACATTTTATCTCCTTCCCTATTTGTTTGGGTTCAGGTTCTCCGTCGTACCATATTTCCGATGGCACTATTTCTAAATGAGTTGAGTACAACAGTGATGTACGATGTCGCGACGGCCAATAATGCCTTCACTTTAGAATATGATCGCTTTGTCATTCACGCTGAAAATGGAGTCAATGGTAAGTCAACTACTTAAGAACAAATCTTCCTTTCTTGGTTTTATTCCTTATTCCATGTTTAATGTGCCCACATTATCACCATCAATTCCTTAAATTTTCTTTTTTTAATTTCAGCTGCCACAGTGAATTCGACGCTGAAAGTTTCTATGGCAGACGGTGGATACCAGTGCACAGATGGATGGGTGTATTTCGCGGACAAGGTGTTCTACGTTTCTGACGACCTCACTCGAAGCCTCTGTACCATGCCAAATTGCTCATGAAGGTTCAAGTGCAGTAAAAATATAATCTAACTTTTACCAAGGAACGTTTTCCCAACAACTCGCAATGATCGGCTGTGTATCAATATGGTGTTTTTATCGTTAAAATTTGATTATGACTATACTACTTGAGATTTATTAGTAGCACATTATACGAGGAGATTTACACAGAAGGGATTTGAGTTCAATGCCGCAAGAAAGTCAAGAAAACAAAAGATATTTACAATGAACATTGGTTGAAGTTAGAGAGATTGTAATAAATAGATTTTTAAGAGGATGGAAATCCACAAAATGATTTCAGAATACTCCAATTTTGATTTGAAGGAGGTAGTCCTGTGGATATTTTGAGTTATATATTCCGGTTGGCTACTTCTCCATAAAGATGGGCTCCATAAATCCGGAAAGAATTCAGTTTCAATGGACGACGCTGTAAAATAATAAAGAATAAAAGGCGGTGATCAATCGTGACTTGTTACTTTGAAAATGATGTTGTCCATGCTTACCAGTGTCTATGCGTCTCTCCTTTTTTCCTGAAAGAAAGAAACAAAGTTGCGTGTTAAGAATTCAATAAGTTGCAATGAAAAGTCAAACGGATTCGATTTATTTTCATGGATCAAATGAGTTGGCTACTATCGCCTATGGGAATTCGTGAGTTGAATGATTATTTCAGGCACCTATCAACACCTAGCGCGTCTTATTTGCTATAGCATTTCTCGCGAGTATTTGAGTACATGCGTTTTTGAAGTATGAATATTTTGAGAAAAAAAATATATAGTTTGCAGAAATTGATTAGCTTTTGGCCAACAAAAGATAAAAAATCGATTTGAAAAGTTGTTTATAAGTGAGCGGTCTATTGAATGATGAATTGATTTTTCTCACCAGAAGTGGTAGTAGCCTTTGAGTGAAATTGTGGTTAGAGTGCTGATGTGGATCTTATAATTCAAACCAACAGATATATAACCAATTTGTACTTTCTGGGATAATTTCAAACTGGAAATATGGGGTTTTTACCATTTGGACTTAGATAGAAGCATGGTTGTCGAAAATTGTGGTCATGAAATGTTTTGGAAAATTTATCAAATACAATGAGCTTGTGGTGTATTGCCTCCCACGTTGAGGATTACGGGTTGAACTTCAACCAACGCACATCCGAACTGATGAATAACCAACCGCCATGTTAAGACTAGCGAATAAGTGAATGATGTCAGGATTTGAGTCTCACCCAGAGGGATCCATAATGCCCACGATGAACATTGGAAGACGCATTACTAGGCAGACTTAGACCTAATCGATGAAGAAAATGTTCTGTTAGAAGTTCAGAGTCTGTGACTTTAAAGAATCGTTCTTTCTCTTGTGGTAATAGTTTGGATGCTTCCAGTTTAAGATATTAATCCTTTGGAGTTGTTCAAGGTTTACTTACCGGTAGCTCCAATTGTGTAATTGAACACGATCAATTTGTATCTATGCTTGAATGCAGCTCAATTTTGCCTTGGAACTCAACCATATCGGGATTATAAATTCCCTCACATTTATTGAAATCAGAGAGAGAGAGAGATCAATAAAACCGCTACTAATTAATCAAATAAGTTCAAAGTGACTTACGCACGAGCTCCGTGAATCCGCGTTCCGCACCAAAAGGTGAGTGAACCACACAACTATATGTTCCATAATCTTCCAGAGTCAAATTGTAAATGGTCAGCCTTGTCCTTAGTGTCATTGGATTTGAAATCTCTCGATCTACAAGGCGATTAAGGTATGGTGGGAAATATACGCCTTGCAAAGGCAGATTACATAATTCCTTATCACAAGTGTTGCCTCACCAGATGTTACACAGTATTTATCTCCAGTACGGCAGTCTCCATTCACACTAATGATAGGTTTGTGGTCGAATTCCCAGTAGAGAGTGTGGATCGGATTACCGATGATGGTAGCAAATAGCATTGTGGTTTGGTAGGGCTTTCTATGCAGTATTTGAGCGCCCATTTTCACTACTGGTCGAACTGAAGAGCAGAAAGACAATAAAAGAGAACCGTGATGGGAGGACAATTTCAAACTGTAGGAAATTATTATTAGTTTCCATTTCACTAACTCTTTTCGATTCGATGCGGCATTTTATCGCTTAATCAAATATTGGGCCTTTTAATGAATGTAATTTATAATGGCGCACATTCCACGTGGTGCACCCTGGTGCACTCATATGTCAAGAAAGTCTATTAACCGGCAGTTGATTTTTGACTTCAAACTACTATGACCCGACATTATGTCATATTCAACCACCTCCACAATACTCATCTTACCTTTTCTCTGCCTTTGTATCTGTCTGTCTATTTTACATCTGTGAATCACTCTTCTGCTCTCCCTTTTCGACATTTTGCGACATTGGTGTTCCTCCCAGCTGTGAAGCCCGAAGTCAACTAAAGGACTAATGATAGCTATCAAAACACCTGCCATTTGATATAGAACTCTAATGGCGTACAGACAATGGCAAATTCTTTGGTGTTATGCCATTTACTGTGCTTTATCATTGTGAATATGCTATGTAGTCAATACTGTTATTGCCGCGTCATTTAAAATTTGTCTACTTTAACTGACCCCCCCTCCTCCTTCCCCATATCACCGAATGGGCTAGAAAAAGTTTTTTGGAAATTCATAATTTCTGGAGAGTAATGAAGGCGTATCCTCCTTTCTGAAAATCAATGCAGTTTACGTTCAACAGTCATCTCTAATAGACTCCAAATAAATAAGGCGCTATTTTTTACAACAAACTACCAAATTTCCTAAAGTCCTGCTTTCATTTATGCGCAAACACAAACACAAACACACACACACACACATATCCCTTACTGACCCTCAATATAGATGTGAACAATAAGCAATCATTTTCACGGGCAAAAATGGGTCAAGTAAGTAGTGGAATGGTAGAATACATAGGGAACTAAGAGAACAGCTCTACCACAAACACCCTTCCGGTTTAGTGTTCCTAAGAGCAAGTTGTCTTGAAGCCTCTTTGAGCATGCATAAAAAAGAGGAATTATTTATTGATCATATTTAATGTATAAACTGGCTGCAAATTCATGCAAATCTGGGCACTTACAATAGACGTCTAAGTGTATATCTCTGGAGACTTTTGCGTCGATCCCGTTATATGCGACACAGGTAAATATCCTTCGTAGGTCTCTCGTCACGTTTGATACTACCAACTTACTGCCACCGACGTAGAATCCTGTTGAGTCAAAATAAAACCGAAAATTTATAAACGCAGCTCTATTGTTGTAGTTTATTTTGCGCTAATTATTACCAATTACGAAATATGTGTACATTAAAGGAGAACATACATTAGGCAAACTCAAAATAACACATAACAAACGTTAGAACGCAGATGTAATATAACAAATATTAACGCTTTTGATTCTAGAATAAATATATATATATATATATATATATATATATATGCATGCGAACTACAACTAACCATAAGATTCTTCTGTCTCCAATATAATTTTTAACAATTTAATTATATTCAAATTTACTTACTTGGCTGGTCCACTGCAGAAATTAGCTTGCGTTCTTTGCCATCAGGGGTACTCATGTACCAATCAATGCTGGGCGTCGGAACACCAGCTACATTGCAGGTCAACTTTTGTGTCAGGCCCTCGCGAACTACAACCTTGGTGTTTGATGATCCATTGGGATTGATAAATGAAGGCACTACAAGTCGCCATTAGGGGTGGGGGGTAAAAGATGCATCCGTCACTTACCTAACATTTTTAGATAAATATGTTTCTCGTGAATCATCTTTTCTTTATCTCTTCTGTACATGCAGATATACTCGCCTTCATCCTCCGATTTCACATTGTCAATTTTTAAGTCCATTTTGAATTCATTGAGATCAGCCATCACCACGTAGTAGCGTTCGTCTTGGATTATTCTTCTGTGGTTGAAGATGAGATATTTTCGCTCCTCAGATTCCTCGCTTCCCCCACGACGCCAAATAAACTGAAATTTGAAATTACGTTTATAGACCTGTTCGTTGTCAAAATAGGAAATGTGATTAAGTAATTTAAAGGTTAATTAATTAATTTACTTAAATTTTTTAATAATTTTCTCGCATATTAAGTTAAAATTTATGTTAAACTTCCTTATCTACGACTCCTTTTTCTATTCATGCAATTTTTCAGTTTATGTGTTATGGGATGCCTCCATTCCCCCTCCCCCTCCCTCCCCCCTCCCCCCCAAGCGGAGGCATTCAAGGCAAAATTTATCCCAATGCCCTGTCACATTTCTCCACGAATTTTGGAAATTAAGAAACCGAATTGCCTATCAACTTTGCTCATCCTGAACCATTAACTCATAAGCTGTCTCAACACGACGCCATCTTCAATCTTAAGCAAATGATTCTCGGTCGAAATCGCCCCTGAACCCCAGTAAAGGTTCCTGCTTTATACTATACCCTTCATTTAATGTAAATGCATAAGTTATTTTAAAATATATTCTGTCGTTCCTTTATTATAATAGTATACGTGCTAGACAAAGTTTTAGTCTTCCTAAATACTGAACAACACTGGTAATCATTGGTCTATTGGATGAAGAGATAGGTATCAACATCCCACACACTTTGCGTCTTCAGTTCTGAACAGAGTTTTAACTCTGTGGTCGTGAAGATTTTGCATTTTTCCACTCAATGGCCTTCAAAATAAGTCCCATTCAAACTTGAAATATCTGCGTATATCAAAAAATTCTTATAGGCAATAAATTACCTGCTGTTCAAAATAATATCAAGTTTCCTATAATGATAATAGATTTTTAAAATAATCGCATTCTTCATTATATACGATCTTATATCTGGTTCGTATCCTTGGTACAAGGTCAAACTAATCTTTTTAAGCAAATGATATTAATGCAGATGTTTGTTGAGATGACAATGATAATTTGTGAACTTCGTAGAGCGGCCTCAAAGCAAATGCGGAGTTTTGCAATTCCAGACGTTAATATGGTGTCTTGATGCTGGAATACTGCATGGGGTGAACAATATGTTTATTAACCGACCTCAATTTAATTAATGTAACAATATTAGTATCTGCTTCAGAAATTTCAGAATAAATTCAAATAAAACAATGTATTTCCTATAAAATAATCCAACCAATCAAACAATGATAGTTATTACACAAGCTGACTTACGTGGATGTTGCTTTGTTCGTTTGAACTCAAGATGTCCTTGTCAGGCCTGCATCGAAGGACAGTGGAGGAATTGATTATCGCTAGTACCACTTCATTCACCTTGTGTTCCATTTTCAAAGTCTCCTTCATGCGCTCGAATGTACTCTTGTCGAATATTGGCTCGCTCCAATTTTTGTTCAATGACTTGTCATCACTTTCTTGGGGCGCTGGTATGAAAGATAAGTGAAAATGAAAGTAATTCTTGCATAACCGGAGTTTAATTTCATGCTGATTCAAATTGCTATATCGGTTAAGTCAGTTGATAAAAGTTCTTTTTTAAGAATTCCGCTTTATTTTAAATGGCCTAAGCAGAAACGCTAGTGCGACAATACTAATAGTTATAATTCGCAGAGGGGGTGTGTGATAGACTTGCCTCTATGTGGTGCACCCTGGGCAACGTATGCTCATACGGCAAAAGTCTGTAAACCATCAGTTGACTTCTAACTTCAAACTACCATCACCTCACCGTATGTCGTATTCCACTACTTCACAGTACTCACCTCACCTTATTCTACCTCTGTGCCTGTCTCTTTTATATCTTTGAAATACTCTTCTGTCCCCCCCCCCTCTTTACTTATTTTTCACTTTGATGTTTCTTCCCCTCTGTGAAGCCTGAAGTCAACTAAAGGGCTAATGATGACCATCAAGACGCCTGCCATTTGATATAAATAAATAAATACATTAACCATTTTATGGTTAAAATTTTGGACTTAATTATTTACACTATAGTCCAAATTCAAACAAACTAGGATGATAGCCATACTGTTTCCAGTTATAACATTTGCAAACTTGACCCCCAGTACCACGACTCTGTTTTAGAATGGCCAATTCATATGAAAGTAGCTTCAAAGTAGTATGCCAATTTTATCTGAACTCAGTCATTTTAAGTTCTCGACATCTTGTCAGTCTGAGAGGAGGGCAATTACGAAGTGATTGCGAATCCAAATGACAAAAATGAAAGATTTGGAAGTAAAATTATTTCCCAAAATATATTGAATTTTATTAGAAATTTAAGATAGAACTCGAAGTCCTACCGCCTCCTAATTGTAGTAAATCCCACCCAATTGCAACTGGTGATTGTTATGAATTGGAATCGATGAAATGGCTCCTCTAGTGGAAGAGGTTCATATTCCGGAGGGCATCAACACTGGGAAGAATTGCTCGCTAACTTGTGCTTTAATAATAGGATAGGAATTGGTCGTGCAGATTTTAAAAATGGTAAAAAATGGGCGCAAGAATAAACAATTAGCACGCAGCGCAATTGGTTTCAACATGACGGATTTAAGTAAAGAAGAAAATAGTGATAAAATGGAATTGAAAGTCTGGAGGGAGAGAGTAAACTAATATTTCTTACGGGCTGAAGCCCGTCAGTCAACTTGCAGGAAAGTGGATACTCAAATGAGGACAGCAAGTGATCACCCATTACCACTGAATATTTTATCGCAATAAAACCCTGAATAAGTCTACAAATACATGCGTTAGTGCCAACCTCCTAGGATTACATATTTCAAAAAAAACAATCCATCCTGAATGAATCCCACTCCTCCTGTCAAACTGCCTAAGTTGGTACACATGACGTGGCCAAAAGCATGTCCATAAATAAGCACAAATTGAAGTCAACTACTCATCTCATAATTACTTTCCTTGCTCCTTGCTTGCAAATGAATAAAAATGAAATTTATCTTTAAATTTTTACTCCTATTCTAAATCGGATTAGACCAGCACACTGGCTTTATTTATAAGGGCCGCGCCATGCCAAAAGAATAATAGAATGGAAATTTGTGGTATCTACAGATGATTAACGATGATCTCACCGCTCCACTTACAACAAGCAGATGACTGGTCCTTTCCTGCAAATTGAAGCTTATATCGCATGCTATACGATTGCTACAGTAGAGCGCATAAAATGAGTGGAAGGGAGGGAGGGTGGGGG